ATATTCCTTCCTTTCTTTCCTCTTTCCTTCTTTCCCTCCCTCCTTCTCTCTTTCCTTCCTTCCCCCTTTCCCTCCTTCATTCCTTCCCCTTTTCCCTCCCTCCTTTCTTCTCTCCTTCCTGTCTGTTCTCCCCCAATACCATGGTAGAGTCCCTTCTAACTCTATTCTATGAGTCTATTTAATATAGTAATATATAGTAGTAACATTATAGTATATAGTAGTATATACAACAATAATATATATAATATATATGTATTATATAGTAATATATATATATATATAATAGTAATATATAAAGTATTCGTCTTCCTTTTTTGAATTTAAAGGTGTTTTTGTGGGGGTTTTTTTGTGATGGTCACTCCTTGGATTGTAAGGAGTTTTATTGCCAAATTTGGGGTCATTTGGCCCCGTAGTTTTTTTGTTTTTAAGCCACTCATTATACACAGAGCATTTTTTATATTTCGATTTGTACAGATCTTAGTTGGGTCTCAAGCCCCAGCCCAGCCCCAAACATTCCTGGGAGGATTAATCTAATAATGTGGCAAGACTAAGAGACAAACTGAAAAACTGATTTGGCAGGAAACCCTCCTCAAGATGCAATGCAGAATTAGACTCCAAGGATGCCATTATCTGCATCCTCAGATGGATCTCCCTTCTTTTCCACTCTTCCCTGTTAAGACAACTATGCACAACTGTATTGAAATAACTATTTTTTCCAATCTGCTACTGGAGGAAAATCCTTACACATATCTTTGCTTTATTAATGGACAATCAGTGGAGAGGGCTCACATATATATATATGCACAAGAACTGGGCACCCAAAGACATGAGAACTATATGAAATGTGCTTGGGAAACTGCTGGTGGGCTGAACATCCAGAAAGCCAGCCTGATATCTTCTCAGGGAAGCCATTCCTCTTTAGAGGTGTAATCAAGGTATTAATATAAGCTTTGTCTTTTGACTCTGGGACCGACACCTCTTATAAACCCCATAACCCCATCCTGGACTATTTTAGGCCATTTCCCAAGTCTTGCCCTTTTTCTGCTGATAGGGTTTATTTATTTATTTGCAGTATTTATATTCCGCCCTTCTCACCCCGCAGGGGACTCAGGGTGGACTACAATGTACATATACATGGCAAACATTCAATGCCGTAGACAAACCACATATAGACAGACATACAGAGGCTGACGCGCTTTA